TATTTTCTTCTGACCTATATTTCTGTCCATTAATTTTCTCCAACAATGCTCCATGTGCTGCTAAATCAATCCTCTGAGATACTAATTTCAGTTATCATACTTTTTCAGTTCTCATATTTGATGTAATTCTTTTATTAGTTTCTAGTTCTCTGCCAAAATACTTTTTCCCCTCTTAAACATATTAAGCACAGCCATGTCTGATAGTGCCATTAGCTAAATCCCCTGTGAGTCTGTTTCTACTAATATTTCTCTTAGTTTCTTAATCACATTGTCTTACCTCCTTGAATGTCTGATTACTTTTGATTGAATGCTAAATGCTGTACTTTTTTTTTTAATGTGGCTATAGCTTGGGACTCTCGATGGTGCTACCTTCATCCAAATTAAACTTATGTGTTCTTTTAGCAGGCAGCTAGCCTAAGGGCCCTAGAAATAACAAATCACCTTAATCCAATGAGAGGTTAAAATTATTCAAGGCTAGGATTCAGTCCCAGTGAGAGCTGATCTATTTCTAGTTCACCAATACACATACAATATAGTTTATTTTGACAAACTAAATCCAGAAACTGATTTAAGTTAAAAGAATGAAAGTTACCCAGTTTCTGACTCCATTAAAGTCAGAAAATTCTGACTACCTATTTTAGTACTGAAAGCTCTCCCAAAAATTAAATGCTCTTTATCACCTGTTTTTGTGTTAAGCTGTATCCAGACTTATTTCTTAATTGTAATAGACAAACCATTTGCAGTGAGCTATAATGTTAGTCACATGGAAAACATGTTAGGCAATAATACTTTCTGCATATAGCTGTAATTCAGTAACTGTTTCACTATTACTCAGAAGAGAATTGTTTTATGCACTGGTTGCATTTAATCCAAAATTTAAATCATTTCCCCTCATTAGAGAACATTCAAATGTAAGAGAAATATAAAAGTCATTTCCCAAAACATTAAATTTTGTAGCACTGTTGCCATGTTCTGTTGACAGATGTATTAGAAGAAGGTGAAACAAACTCATACAGTATGAGGCCTCCTTGGTTCAAGGAAAGCAAAAACAGAAATATACTCAAATACATATTATTTCCATTTATTTGTTTTTTAAAGGAGGATTCTGGGGTAACACCAAAAGATAATATTTCTATTTATAGTCTAGAACTTTATGTGTTCTTTTGTTAAAATTTCCCACCAATTTTATTCTCATTTCAGAGGGGAAGGTCATACATATTTTAAAACTTCACATATATAAACGATTAAATAGCTAAATAATGTTTGTATTTCTGACAGTTTTCAAGTCCACCTTATTCTAAAGTAGAGTAACATTGTAAATGTCTTCATAATTTTATTTTTCCATGCCTACTGGTGTTTTCACATTATTGAAACAGTTACAAAAGGGGAAAATTACCATGCACTTTAAACTGTTTGTATCTTTTAAAGGACACAACTTATCAAGCTATCAGATCATTTACTTTACTGAAAGAATGAATACACATTGATGGTGGCAGTGACCAGTCTGGAGCAGCCACTGTGGGGACACCAGAGGCAGTGGGGGAGGTGTGGCTTCGGCTGTGCACTCCATGGAGCCCACAGGGATGTGGACAGGCAGGAACCCCATCCCCTACCTAGTCCCATGCTCCCAGGCAAAGCTGCAGCCACCCAACTGCAGCTCTGGAACTGGGCATCCCTGTGCTCTCAGAAGCCCAGAAATCCTCCCTCCCACTGGTCACCAATGGCTTGGAAGTGCCTGTTCCTGTTCCCTGGCCTCTCCTTGCTCCCAGTGCCCACTCCAATTTCGGTGCAAAGTTGTGGCTGAGCCCAGGTGCTATAGCAACCTGGCCAGGTGTGTACGCGTGGGTTAGTGCTGACATGTCAGCCCCCTGCTGCCTCACCCACTCCCAGACTTTGGGAACCAGTGAGCATGGGAGGGAGGCTGAGGGTGGTGCCGATGACAGCTGGGTGAAGGCCTGCAGCTGTCCCTTGGCATGAACAGCCTGGGCACCATGGACAGCATGTTGATGGCAGTAGGAGACAGGCAGGTCACTGGTGAAACCCAACCTTCAGGCTAGAGATGGCCTGAAGTCTGGGGTCCGGGCTGCCAGTTCTGGATGAAGTCTGGGTGACAGTTCTGGGTAAAGTAGTGCACCAATTCTGGGTGAAGTCCCAGGCTGAGTGTGAGAACATCACTGATGACTGTTCAGCCAATCCTCAGATGCTGCTTTTTCCAGGCCTGCCCATGACCACACGTGGACCAATCAGCATGCACTTCCTCCATTCAGAGCACATAAAAACCCCAGATTCAACCAAATTTAGATACTCATTGGGAGGGCCTGCCTGTGGAAAGGAGCTACCAGCTATGGGTCTCCTCTCTGTGGAGAGCTAGATACTCGTTGTTTGACCTGCCTGCAGAAAAGAGCTACCCAGTATAGGTCTCCTCTTTGCTGAGAGCTGGACACTTATTGGGATGACCTGCTTTTGGAATTAAGCTACCAACTTTGGGTCTCCTGAGAGGTGTTCTGTCACACTCAAGAAAGCTCCTCTCCTCTTTGCTCACCCTCCCATTGTCTGCCTCCTCATTCTTCCGGGATGTGGGACAAAGACTCAGGACCCACTGAATGGCAGGATGGAAAGAGGTATAACACCAACAGGGCTGAAACACACCCTCCACTCACAACATTGCAGACAACAAGAAGGAAAGAAGAGCTGCAGCCCTTCTGGGAGCCTAGACCTTGGGACTCCCTGAGCCAGGACTGTGACATGCTATTACACCCTCTTTGGGGCTTTGCAGTTTTGCAACAGAAGCCACTTGCAGTACATCTGGTCCAGCCACAGTCTTGCACGAGGCCAATGCCTATGCTGGTGTCTGGAGCTACCCATTCCACTGTAGCTGGCACATGTGGCTGTGCGCAGTGGCCAGATCCTGCAATTGCTCACTCACATACCTCCATCACTCCACACCAGGCTCACTCTTGGTAGGTGTGGGATCCAGGCTGATAGCAGAAGCCAAGCACAGCCTGTTGGGCTGAATGGGCAGAATGGGCCCACCAGGCATAAGCAAAACCTAAGAAGAGACACCACTGGCCACAGAGGTTTCCAGCTGGTGAAACAACACCCTAAGGATCCCATGACAACATTTGGTTAGATAAAAACCATTTCTATACAGAGTTCACCCTTCCAAGTTCCCAAGCTAAAGAAAAAAAATGCTAAATTATGATAATTGGAAGGCAGGCTTTCCTAATGTCAAAAAATTACTTCTTACAAAAAACAGTATTTTCTCATATGCATACAAACATTTTTAGATATAATATACCATATTTAGATTTTATCATGGATAAATCCAAGTTCTTGAAGTATAACTGCAAGTCACTACTCATCCACAATTACACCCATACTCCTTGTATAAACAATAATTTTTTAAAAGCAATACACCCATAAATTCCTCTATCTTATTTCTTTGGCTTTCCTTGCAAGTAAAACTGATTTAAATGAGCTTCTCATGTTTCATATTTTGGCTTTCTTCTTCATTGAGCCATTCTTTGAAGTTGTATTCATCTGTTTTCTCCTGCTATAACAGAATGCCACAGACTGGGTAATTTCAAAAAAAGGAGGCTGGGCATGGTGGCTCATACTTGTAATCTGGCACTTTGGGAAGTGGAGGTGGGCAGATCACTTGTGGTCAGGAATTCAAGACCAGCCTGGCCAACATGGTAAAACCCCATCTCTACTAAAAATACAAAAATCAGCCAGGTGTAGTGGTGGTTTCCTATAATCCCAGCTCTTCAGGAGGGTGAAGCAGGAGAAGACACCTGAACCTGAGTCAGAGGTTGCAGTTATCCAAGATTGCACCACTGCACTCCAGTCTGGGTGAAAGAGGGAGAATCCATCTCAAAACAAAAAAAAAACAAACAGAAAAAAGATTTATTTGACTAATGGTTCTGGAGGCTGGGAAGCCCTTCATCTGGGAAAAACCTTTGTGCTGTGCCACAACACAGTGGAAAGCATCACATGGCAAGAGACTGTATTAATCCATTCTTGTATTGCTATAAAAAATACTTGAGACTGGGTAATTTATAAAGAAAATAGATTTAATTGGCTCACGGTTCCACAGGCTGTACAGGAAGAATGATGCTAGCATCTGCTCAGCTTCTACAGAGGTATCAGGAAACTTGCAATCATGGCAGAAAGCAAAGGAAAAGTAGGCCAAGCTTACATGGCCAGAGTAGGAGAGAAAGAGGAGGAAGGTGATACACACTGTTAAAATATCCAGATCTCATTCATGGGATACACAGTTGGTTCAACATACACAAACCAATAAATGTGATTCATCACAGAAACAGAACTAAAGACAAAATCTATATAACCATCTCAGTAGATGCAGAAAGGCTTTTGATAAGATTCAACATCCATTCATGTTAAAAACTCTCAATAAACTAGATACTGAATGAACATATCTCAAAATAAGAGCCATATATAACAAACCCACAGACAGTATCACGCTGAATAAACAAAAGCCAGAAGTATTCCCTTTGAAAACTGGTATAAGACAAGGATTTCCTATCTCAGCACTTTTATTCAACATTATATTGGAAATTCTGGTCAGGGCAATCAGGCAAGAGAAAGAAATAAAGGGCATTCAAGTAGGAAGAGAGTAAGTCAAACTATTCTTGTTTGCAGATGACATGATCCTGTATCTAGAAAACCCACAGTCTCAGCCAAAAGCTCCTTAAGCTGATAAGCAACTTCAGCAGTCTCCGAATACAAAATCAATGCGCAAAAATTACTAGCATTCCTATACACCAACAACAGCCAAGCCAAGAGCCAAATCAGGAATGAACTCCCATTCACAATGCCACAAAAACAATAAAACACCTAGGAATACCACTAACCAGAGAGTTTTGTTGCTTATTAATTTTTGTTCTTTCTGATGGAGCTATTCCCTTTAAAATTTCTTGTAAGACAGGTCTGGTGTTGATGAAATCCCTCAACTTTTGTTTGTCTGGGAAAGTGGTCCTCCCTCCTGTTTGGAGAATATTTTTCCTAGATATACTGTTCTAGGATAAAAGCTTCTTTCCTTCAGCACTTTAAGCATATCAGGCCACTCGCTACTGGCCTGTAAAGTTTCCATGGAATAATCATCTGTCAGACATACTGAAGCTCCATTGTACGTTATTTGTTTCTTTTCTCTTGTTGCTTTCAAGATCTTTTCTTTATCCTTGACCTCTGGGAGTCTGATATTACATGCCTTATGCATTCTTCTTTGGATTAAATCTGCTAGCTGTTCTATAATCTTGTATGTCAATATTGATATCTTTCTCTAGTTTTGGGAAATTTTCTGTTATTATCACTTTGAGTAAACTTTCTACCCCTATCTTCTCGACCTCCTCTTTAAGGCCAATAACTCTTAGATTTGCCTCCACCTCTCAAAGTGCTGGGATTACAGGTGTGAGTCACCATGTCCGGCCTTTCCTCTTTGAGATTAGGTCTTGTGCTGTCTCCTATACTGGAGCATAGTGGTGCGATCTCAGCTTACTGCAGCCTCCACATTCTGGGCTCAAGCAATTCTCCTGTCTCAGCCTCCCATGTAGCTGGGACTACAGGTGTGTGCCAGCGTACGGGGCTAATTTTTGTATTTCTAGTAGAGATTGGGTTTTGCTGTGTCATCCTGGCTAGTTTTTAACTCCCAGACTTTGTGATCCACCTGTCTCAGTCTCCCAGTGTGCTGTGATTATAGGCATTAGCCATCCTGCCCGGAGGATTTTTAACTTTTTGAAGATACAACAAGCTATGTTAAAAATAGGCTGCACTAGAGAAATGCAAATCAAAACTACATTGAGATACCATCTCACGTCAATTAGAATGGCAATCATTAAAAAATCTAGAGACTACAGATGCTGGCGAGGATGTGGAGAAATGGGAACACTTTTACACTGTTGGTGGGAGTGCAAATTAGTTCAACCATTGTGGAAGACAGTGTGCCAATTCCTCAAGGACCTAGAAATAAAATTCCATTTGACCCAGCAATCCCATTACTGGCTATATATCCAAAGGATTATAAATCGTTCTATTATAAGGACACATGAACACAAAGGTTCGTTGCAGCACTGAGGCTATTTTCTGGATCTTGTAGGTGTGGCATCATTCTTTTTTCTTTTTCTTTGGTGTTCTCTGACTTTGTATTTTTAAATAGCATCTCTTCAAGCTCACAAATTCTTTCTTCTGCTTGATCAATTCTGCTGCTGTTAAGAGACTCTGATGTGTTCCTCAGCTTTAATGAATCTTTCACTTGGTTTTGAATCCAATAGTAAAATCTAAGTTTTTCATTAGAACACTGTGGTTGTCATAATCAAAGCTATTCCTTATTCCTAAGTTCACAGATACTAGAGGTATTTCTTGTAAATATGGTCTATCTATCTTTGGAAAAAATAAGAGCTGACAACTCTTTAAGCATCAAGGATTCATGTCATTACACTCTTCTGATTTTAATGTTAAAATGCTTTTTCTCTAAATGTCTTTCTAATGACACTTAAATCATCCTAATAAATTCAACTTACCTAAAACTGTCACTTTTCTCTTTGGTTTTCTAAATCTTCACTTTATACAATTTTTTCCAATTTTTGAAATGATCTTTCTAAATTTCCACATGCAGTTGAAATTCTGGATAATTTTTGGCCTGACTTCAAGTATCTTTAAGAGTTAGCCAGAATTAACTATTTAAAAAAGTACATTTTACTAAGGACTTTTATCTTTATAATTAATCTATGAAATTGTCACTCCTTTTTTAGTTTTCATTATATTTCAAAAGAGGTCAGAAATATTCCCACCATCCTCCTTCATGGACACATCTCAATGCAATGCAACAGTAAACTATTTCTGAATGTCAAGTACAAGTTACATAGAAATTCTTCTAATTAAGATATATGTGTATAATTCCAAGGCATTTCTTGAAAGTAAGTCTAGTGGTAATAATTTGACATAAGAGTAGATACAGCCATATCATTGTTAAATTTATATTTCATTAATGAGTTTTTAGTTTTCAAGAACTAAAAAACTTTTCTCCAATAAATACATATATTTGTTTATTTTGTCATCTTAGTAATAACTCTGTCACCCTAAAATTTTGTACATTGGTGACTTTTTATAGACCCGTAAGTACCACTAGAGGCCACCAAATACTTCTTTTTATTAAACTGACATATTTGCAAGTTATTCTGGCTAGCTTACAAGGAGATGACCATGCATGATAATATCCGTAACAGGGAAAGTTCCATCTGACCTCTCAAAGAATTACACAAACTCAAGTAAAAAGATGTAAACATATTTCATACAGTAAATAGGATGTATAATTTGACAAAAAGTTTTATGAGATCAAAATGGGGGGGTAGGTAGTATAAAAATTCATTCCCTATATACCTTTGAAAATAGATTATATGACTTAGCAATATGGTGTTCTCTCAAATTGCTGTTGTCCTTCATAAGCAAATTATTTATATAAAAACATATACCTCTATATAAATAAATATAAACATACAGATACATAACATCCTAGAGTTCAGTATTCTTTCCCACATATCACAAAGTCTTTCACATATAATGTTTTTAATATCTAAAGTTGGCTACCATTTACAGCAATCAAAACTTTAAAAAGAAGTCTTATTGTCAAAGTCACCTGACTTTTTTTTTTTTTTTTTTTTTTTTTTTTTTTTTTTTTTTAAGACAGAGTCTTCCTCTGTCACCCAGGCTGAAGTGCAGTGGTGCGATCTCGGCTCACTACAATCTGCCTCCTGGGCTCAAGTGACCCTCCCACCTCAGCTTCCCAAGTAGCTGAAACTACAAGCATGCATGCACCACCATGTCCAGCTAATTTTTCCTTTTTTTCTGAGACAGAGTCTTACTCTGTTGCCAGGCTGGAGCGCAATGCACAATCTCGGCTCACTGCAACCTCCGTGTCCCAGGTTTAAGTGATTCTCCTGCCTCAGCCTCCCACGTAGCCGAAACTACAGATGCGTGCCAATTTTTGTATTTTTAGTAGAGACAGGGTTTCACTATGTTGGCCAGGATGGTCTCAATCTCTTGACCTCATGATCTGCCTGCCTCAGTCTCCCGAAGTGTTGGGATTATAGGCATGAGCCACTGTGCCCAGCCAATTTTTCTATGTTTTGTAGAAAAGGGTTTCACCATGTTGCCCAGGCTGGTCATCACCTCACATTTTTTAATATACCCAAAATTCTGGCTTGAAGAAGCAAACCTGGCATCTGGCAAAATAAACTGGCACCTGAGTAAACTCTGCTCTGCCTTTCTAGGTGAAAGTGCTGCTTAGGGTATCCCACATCCCCTCACTTCTTCCAGCATCTTCCTCCTTTCCAATGATAAATAGCAGAAACCAGAAGGCCCAAGTAGCATCCAAAGATTCTGTACATCCAAGGCAAACTTCCAAAACAAAATGGGGCTTATTGCTATTGTACTGTCCACCTTCTCTGCATATATACTATTTTTCAAGGGTTTTCAGAAAATCCAGAAAAACTAATCAGTCATGGTTTTGATTTTCTGTCTAAAAAATCTTGGCTTAAGTAAAGGTCTCAAAGTCCTAAGTTTTCTTTAAAAAAACTTTATAGTGTTAGCTTTCACATTTAGTCTATGATTCATTTCAAGTTACTTTTTGTGTATGGTTTAAGGCCAAGTCAGGCTCATTTTTTTTCCAAATGGGTATCTTCTTGTTCCGGCACCATTTGTTCCGGCTATCTTTTCCACAACTGAATTACATTAGCAACTCTGTCAAAAAATCAATTTATGAAGTCAGGCACAGAAAGATAACTACTACTCATATGTAGAAGCTAAACACAAAAAAACAAAAATTTGAGCTCATAGAAGCAGAGAGCAGAAATGTGGTTATCAGAGGCTGGGAAGGATATGGGGAGGGGAGGAAAGGAAGAGATTGGTTAACAGATACAGAGTAACAGCTAGATGGGAAAAATAAGTTCTAGGGTTCTGTAGCACCATAAGGTGAATACAGCTAATGATAATTTAGTGTATATTTTCAAAAAGTTAGAAGATTTTGAATGTTCACAACAATAAGAAATGATAAGTATTTGAGGTGATGGTTATACTAATTACCCTGATTTGACCATCACACATTGTATACATGTATCGAAATACCACTCTGTTTCCCATAAATATGTAGAATTATTACATATCAACTAAACATAAAAGGAAAAAACAAAAAAGATAACACATGATTTTCTTTCAATACAGTGGAACATTTCAGAAAAAATAAATTTATGATATAGATGTTAGTTTGCTTCTAGACTGTACCACGGATCTACATGTCTATTCCTTAAACCAATACCATACTGTCTTGATTCCTGAGCCTTGTGGTATGTCTTTAAACCAGGTTGTGTAAGTCTTCCAACTTTGTACTTTTCTTTCCCAGATAGTTTTTAGCTACTTGATATAAAACATGCCTTAGAGATTTATTCATTTCAGTTCCTAAAGCTTTCTTTCATACTGTTTTAAAAGGTAACTATAGTAAAATACATGTAACATAAAATTTATCATCTTAACAATATTAAGTGGACAGTTCAGATAGTGTTAAATACACTCACACTGTTGTGCAACTAAACTCTTTACATATTGCAAAATTCACAATCTATGCCCATTAAACAACTTGCCATTCCTCCTTTTCCCCAGCCCCTGGCAACCACAATTCTCCTTCCTGTCTATATGAATTTGACAACTCTAGGTAACTCATATTAGTGAAATCACATAGTATTTGTTTTTTTGTGTGTGTGTGACTGGCTTATTTCCCTTAACATAATGTCCTCAAGGTTCATCCTTCAGGTTGAACCTTGCACAACACAGTAAATGTTGGCACATGTTGTGACATGTGTCAGAATTTTCTTCCTTTTTAAGGCTTAATAATATTCTGGAGTGGGTGTGTGCGTGCGTGCGTGCGTGCATGCGTGCGTGTGTGTGTATCACATCTCACTTGTCTATTCATCTATGGACACATAGGTTACTTCCACCATTTGACTATTGTGAACAATGCTACTATAAATGTGTATGTATATTTGTTTGAATCCCAGCTTTCAGTTCTTTTAGGTATATACTCAGAAGTGAAATTGCTAGATCATACAGTAATTTTATTTTCTATTTTTTTTTTGAAGATTCTCAATATCATTTTCCACAGTGGCTGCACCATTTTACTTTCCCACCAACTGTGCAGAAGGGTTCCAGTTTCACCCTAATCTTGCTAACATTTGTTGTTTTCTGGGATTTTTGTTTTGGGTGTTTTTTTTTGTTTGTTTTGTTTTTTTTTTAAGAGTTGGAATCTCACTCTATCACCCAAGCTGGAGTTGCAGTGGTGCAATCATAATTCACTGCTGCCTCCAATTCTGGGCTCAGGTAATCCTTCTACCTCAGCTTTCCTAGTTGCTGGGATTGCAAAAGTGAGCCACTGTGCTTGGCTTTTTTTTTTCCCCCATGGCAATAATAATGGGCATGCAACGGTATCTTATGGTGGTTTTAATATGCATTTCCTTAATAATTGGTGATGTTAGCATCTTTTCATGTGCTTGTATATCTCTTTATCTCATATTTTTAACAGCTGTACTATGTTCTAATGAGTGGGTGTGGTACCATTAATCCAACCAGTTCCCTACTAATGGTCACTTAGATAGTTTCCAATCTTTTGCATACAGGTAATTCATACAAACATATGTATATAAATAACCATACAAATCACTTGGTTATAGATAGCCCCAGCTTATGCATGTTTTTCATTTACTCCTTTTCACTCTCACAAGCATTTTGGTTTGAATAAGATACAGTCACCCTAGTTTCAGATTAAGGATAAGATAAATTGCTAGAAGTGAAATTGGGCAAGAACTACCTTTGATTTAACCTTCCAGGCTATTTGTTACCCAAAAACTCACCCCATATTAGAAATCTAGTAATAGAAAAAGATATTTATATTTACCACTTTATTATAAAGGATAAGACTAAGAAACAGACAAGTGGAAGAGATATACAGGGCAAGGTATGGCAGGGAGGAGGTGACAGAGCCTCCACACCCTCTCTCAGGTGTACCACTTTCATAGGACATTAGTGTGTTCACTGGTCAGGCACAGTGGCTCATGCCTGTAATCCCAGTGCTTTGAGAGGCCAGGGTAAGAGGATTACTTGAGGCTAGGAGTTTGAGACCAGCCTCCGGAAGACAGACTCTGTTTCTGTGAAAAATAAAAAAAATAGCTAGGCATGGTGGCACACATCTATAGTCCTAGCTATTCTGTAGACTGAGGCAGGAGATCGCTTGAGTCCAAGAGTTTGTGGTAACAATGAACTATGATCACACCACTACACTCCAGCCTGGGTGACAGAGTAAGATCCCGTCTCTTTAAAAAAAAAAAATCTGTTCATCAACCCAGAAGCTATCAGAATCCTGTCATCTACAGGTTTTAATGGAGGTTTTATTAAGTAGCTATGACTGGTTAAATCACTGCCATTGGTGACTGATCTCTATCTCCAGTCCTTCTTTTTCC